TATGTCCATAGCTCTTATTTATTCGACAGTATTATTGACAGTAATCTCCCTGTCATACATGTCAATGGTTTTTAGAGTACGACTGATGAACATATAGTTCACACACTTACAGGTTGCAAGCCTGCTAGTGTTCCACAGACCGTCTAGAATAGTCCATGGTTGTCATCCATACTCTGCTGAATGACAGGGGCCAACGTTTGGGTAAGGGCTTTTCTCATATTTCACCACTCACCCTCAACTCATGATCTCATTTCACCACTCACCCTTAACTCATGATCTATATCACTTATCATCTCATTTATCCAACTCACCTTTCATCACACACTCACTATTTCATCTACCCATGTTTTACCCAACATTTTTGTAGATAAAAATACATATACAGTTTAAATTATTTAAAAACCTGTATAAATCATTCCTTCAACATCCATCTCAAATAAACAAACAATATATATTCACACATCACGTATAAAATACTTCATATCTATGTGTAAGGTGAAAGTAACTACACACTCACTTGATTTAATAATAATCGGGCAGCACTTCGTTTCCTAAAACGATCGTTTCTAATAAAACCGGGAGTTTTATTGAGAAACCGGACTCTGCGAGGGTCGGGCTTCAAAACCGAAAAGATAAAGTTTCCGGGTCTTCGGGCACTTCGGGACGTGTTTCGGGTGCTATAATCGATATCGGGGCTTCGGGGGATGTCGAGATAGTAAAAATATTGAAAAAGGGGTGAAAAATGCCAATTTCTCAAAATTACCCGGGAGGTCTCGCACCCTCCTATTTATAGGTGCGAGCCTCCTGATCGGACGGTTGGAAAGAAGTCACGCGGCAGCAGATGCGAGGAGGCAGCACGTGGGTTGCGCATGTGAGGGTCTCGCTGGAGGCTCTTGATTGGACCGAAGTCTGGGTCCGAGGAAGGGGGGGGGGGGGGGGGGTTGGGGGCACTCTGCGAAGCTCGGATGGGTCACAGCAACACGGGGCGTGCATGCAAGATTCCAGCGCATCGGACGCATCATCGATTTCGAACACCTGTGCGACACGCGTCGCTTCTCGGACGCGCCACGCAGCTGCTTCGGATACGTGGCCAGCTCAGAGCGAGGGTGACGTGGCTGTCACTATTCATGCGAAAATTCTCGAAAATTGTGCCCAATCTTGTAAAATCCATTACTTTCTCATACGGGCTCTGTTTTTTACGTTATTTATATGCACACGTAGGAAAAATTACGCTCTACAACTTTCGTTTAGACTTCGTCGGCTAGTTTTGATTTTAATTTTTATATTATTATTTTTAACAGACCGGGACAGGAAATTCGTTAAAAATTCATAACTTCTTCATCCGACGTCCGTTTTCGTCTGTCTTTTTACCGTTGTACTACTATTGACGAGACTTTCGATTCTCGTTTAGGTCGTGTTGGCTAAAAATCACTCAATCTAAAATTCGAGTTTTTAGCTGTCTACTGCTAAGCTGAAACTTCGAAAAATCATAACTTCCTCATACGAAGTCAGATTTGGGCGTTCTTTTTATACATACTCTCGGTTTAACGAATAATACGACTTTCGTTTAGATCACTAAGGCTAGAAAGTAGTTTATCAAAAACTCACTTTTTACGACATTCGGCACCGTGCCGGTTTTGTCGCGAAACTTCGACAGGTCATAACTTCTTCGTTATAACTCGGATTTCGACATTCTTTATATATCCGTAATCCTTGTCACGACCACTACGAATTTCTTAATAAATATCGTCTTTATCTAATATTTATTTTCGACGCTCATTTTTATTCTTATTAATTAAACCCTAATAATTAAGCATAAAACACATAATTTTCACATAGTATTCACACAATTCCTTTTCATTTCTTCTAAATGAGTTACAAATGTTAACCTAGACTGTCACGTCAATATTAATGCCTAGCCTAGAAACACGGTCATTACAGCGACGGCTGCGGTGGCTGCAGCAACAACAGCCTCGGTAAGAGAAGCATACCGCTCGTCAAACGTCTCAATGAAGGTAGTCTTGATAGACCCAAACATCTTAGGAATCTCAGCTCGAATGGCTGCAGCCACCTCCTCGTGAATCAACCTACGGATCTCCTCATCACTGGTACCACTGGTACCACTGCCTCTTGGGTGGTGGCGCGTCCCAACCATGATGTCTCTGAAATACAACACAAAAGAAGTCAGAGACTCGCTCGAGTATACTCGCACTCGATACTCAACCCTACTTGTTCTTTAGTACCCTACGGATTTCTACTTGGACTGCTCACCGATCCGGTGTTTCCAGTAGTACGGGCCCTATACTACCTTCCACAACGCATCGGTATTCACCCCAAGTCCTCCTCCTAGGATCCCATATCACAAGTACTCTATATCTCAGGCTACCCTCCAGTAGACCACTCATAAGCTCCTCGCTGCTACCTACTCACTCTCGAAGTATCTCCTAGCAGCAGTGACTCCTAGGCTAAGGCATCACAAATCAGGCCCATTCTAGTCCTAACTATGAATACCTAGCCTACTCTAGCATGCATAACATATCACATAATATCTCATAACACATAATGTAAGGGTATTTTGGGAAATCACCGTTCGGGCGCTGGCTGCTTGTACACACTGCTCCGTTCTGCGTTTCTCAAAAATATTTTTCTCTTTTTAGAAAAAATGTTTCTTTTATGCAAAATTTCTCAAATCCTCAGTTTGAGTTCAGATACGCCCAAAGGTGCATCCGAATCCCTCAAACCAAGGCTCTGATACCAACTTGTAACAACGTAAAATTTAAAACAATTTTTCATTTTTAAAACATGATAAAACTCATATAGTATTCTCAAAATCTCATGTGTCAAATGTCATCATAATAAAACATATCCCAGGATCTCAAAACATAATCATCTGCCAGTGTGTACAAATCATGCCGGCGACTTCCCGCGATCCTCGCTGTTACCTGAAACACATATCACATAACACGGTAAGCATAAACGCTTAGTGACTTCCCCAAAATACCACATACAACACATAAGCCACTCGAGGCTATAACTCGGTATGACCCTCCGGTCAATATGTCTCAGCGGGACCCTCCAGTCCCGTAGCTCGTTGGACCCTCCAGTCCGGTCTAGCTCGTTGGACCCTCCGGTCCGGTCTAAATCGTTGGACCCTCCGGTCCGGTCTATATAACATATAGCATACATATATCACAATATACATAAACTCAAACATACACATAACACATAAGACCCTCCGGTCTGCACGTAGATACCACTCTAGGTAATGTATAGTGAGAATACTCACCTCGGGTAAATCTCGGAAAGTCCCGAACTCGAATCGCTGATCTAGCCTCCGCCTAATCACACAAAGTAATTATCTCTAATTAATACGGCTCTCAAAGGCTAGACTAGTCCCTCCCTATATTCTCTCAGAAGGGGAAAAGATCATTTTACCCCTCCAATGGTCCAATGTCCAAATGTTGACCAAACCCTAAAAGTCAACTCTAGTCAACGGTCCAACTTTGACCAGACTCGTCGAGTGCACTCGGGTGACTCGGCGAGTCCATGCGTGTCCTTTGAATCCTCCTAAGGCCTCACTCGACTCATCGAGTTAGCCCTTCTCTCAACGGGTTACCACTGAACACGAACCGTGGTGCAACACGATCCGACTCGTCGAGTCCTCTCATGGACTCGGCGAGTTTATTCCATGAGAATGCTCAAACGACCTTCTGAGGTCAGATCTGTTTCTCTAACCTATAGATCTGACCTTCTAACACCCAAAAGTCACGTAAAGGTCTGAACTTTACGTCCATGCATCGCACATATAGCTTTATTTGAAGAAATAGCTCTAAAAATGGAATCCTAAGCTCATCATCCTCATGTAACATCATAAAGCTTGATTGTTGGGACACTCTGGACCTCTCAAGGTCCAGATCTAAAGTCTATTCCTCAAAGGGACTTCACAAGCTCCATATTTCAACAAAAGAAAGGGTAAAGAAACCTTAGATTCCATAAATCCCTTAAATACACGAAAATAGCCATGGATTCATACCTCAAACAGAAGCCCTTGAAGAAATAGAAGAAGTTTTGGGCCCCCTCTAAGCAGCCTAGCTTGAATCTTCCTTCCTTCCTTGCAAGAATGCACTATGGTGGTGAAATTAGCCCTTTCTCTCTCCTTCTAAGCTCTCAGGCTCACTAGGGTTTCTCAAGGGTATGGGTGGCCGCAATGAAGGCCATAAGGACCCTTAAATTGGGCACAGGCCCAAAGATTTAGGGTTTCTGTCCACAGCGCAGACTCGTCGAGTCCACTCGCCGACTCGTCGAGTCCGTTCATTAATCCTAGTCAGCAGTCGCGATCCTACTCGACGAGTCTAGACATCAACTCGTCGAGTCCATCTCCTTGACTCAGAATTAAAAACTCAATTATGATACCTGGAAATCCGGATGTTAAACCGGTTCCAGTTCCGGTCCCGGTTTTTTGGTAATTTTTCAAACTAGAACCGATTGATATGTTGTAGATGATATTGTTGTCTTCCGAGGCATGTATACGATCCAATATTTAACGAAAATATGACTTTGTACACTCTAAAATGATGTACAAACACTAAATTACATGTTAGAGAAAAATCAAGTGATTCCGACTTCATATGAGTGAGTTGTGTGTATTTTAAAAAAGCGGGACGTATTAAAAAAATCGAAATGCTGAAGTGAAAAATCACAACATTGCTATGTTGTATTCTAGGGCCTATAGTTGATCCAATATCTAACCAAAATATGTATTCTTACAGTCTAAAATGAAGTACAAACACCAAATTACATGCTAGAAAAAAATCAAGTAATTCCGACTTTATATGAGTGAGTTATGCGTATTTTAAAAAGCGGGACAAATTCCAAAAAAAAAAAAAAAACAAATTCCTGAAACGGAAAAATCACAACATTGATATGTTGTTTCCGGGGCTTATAGTTGATTCAATATTTAACCAAAATATGAAATATTACAGACTAAAAATAATTACAACCACCAAATTACATGCTAGAAAAAAATCAAGTAATTTCGACTTCATATGAGTGAGTTATGCGTATTTTGAAAAGTCGGACAGATTCCAAAAAAACCAAAATGGTGAAACTAGAAAACCACAACATTGATATGCCGTCTTCTGGGGCCTCTATTTGATTCAATTTCTAACCAAAATATGTATTTCTACAGTCTAAAATGAAGTACAAACACCAAGTTACATATTGAAAAAAAAATCAAGTAATTCTGACTTCATATGAGTGAGTTATATGAATTTCAATAAGCGAGACAAATTTTGGTCCGGTTTCAGTTTTTTAGAAAACAGTGTTAGAAATGGAACCGATTTTTATAAAAGTGGAGAACTGGTAACCGAACCTTATTACTAAACCCGGTCCAGTTCCGGTTTGGTACCGGTCCGCTTCTGGTTCTTGCGGTTCTAATGCTCATCCCTAGGTGGTACTTACATTTTCAAGCATCGTGAGTGCTTACAATTACACTGTTTTAGCTTATTTGGAGTACCAACTTTTCTTTCACATTTAGTCTTGATCGAGCATTTGGTGATTCTGCTTTTCTAGCATAAAGAAACATATAGATTTCCACCATAAATAAATGAACTTACAAATGAGCTAGTGTCCTATTGATTTGGAGTTCTTACCCGTCTGGCTTCTCATTGATAGGTGTTATCAGCTTAGTGATAGGTGGCTAAGTATTGTATTCAAATTCCTTCACCTGACTGATAGGGTTGTGGCAATCAGAAATCAAGAATAAATTAGAGATTCCGGGATGTTGTGGAGTAATCATACATACACCCAAGAACACCAGATTGAACAAATTTTAATTGTACCGAATAGATTATAAAAGTAAACCTCAGATTACGACTAAAAATACTAAAATACCCTCTAATAATCTTGCTCATAGTTAGTAGGCTTACTTTTTCTTAATCACAGCAGCCATTGTTAAGAACGTGTGTTCCACATTGACCCAATCTTTTGCATTTGTGTATCAACTACCTTCATCTGAACGAAATGAAATTTGTTTACTACTGGAAGAAAAAGATACAAAATTGTTTAATATTCTTAAGTTCATTGTTATTAAAAGTATTATTTCATTCAAAGTTTTTTTTTCTATTATAAAGCATTGCACTTTCCCTTCACTTTATTTTGGATGTGTGTTTCAAGAGCCATATGTGTTAAATATGTCTAAAATTACAATGCTATTAGTGATATCTTTTTCCAAACTATCTTGTAGATCCTTAGAAAGTAGGTGCTGGTGAATTATCCCCATATAAGTCTAGCCATGTTTGAATTAATGCCTGTCACTGTAAGCATATAAAAAACTAACTGGTTAGTGATTGTTTAACATGGAACCATATTCTCTTTTGATTCAAACAGATAGATATGATGTACCTAGGAGTCATATGTATTTCCTCTCCACATACAACTGAAATCAATGTGAATCTGATACCACATCAATGAGCCCCTTTTCAAAATCAATCCAAGCTATAGGATGCTATAGTGTATGAGCTCCTTCAATTACATTATATAAAAATAGTTGAAATTAGTAAAAAGCATGACAAATCCAAATCTAAAAAAGTCTTAGAAAGGAAAAAAAAAATACAGATATAGAAACAAAGAAGTAACCAGATCTTACTGTCTTTTTAATATTGACCACAAAAAGACCTATAAATTCCTTCTAATCTCCCAGTCAATAATAGATTAAAAGTAGCTTCCCCCGAAATTAAAAGAATGTAGAAATACAAATTATGTTCCAACATTGCAATGAACAAAATAACACATTTAGAGTCAACATCTGACCTTTGAAATGAGGAAAAAAACAAAAATTTATGTCACCAACCTGATCTCAACATTCGTTTTCAGAAGTATCATCATCGGGTACAAATGTGAAGTGTACATCCTCGGCATTCGTCCTGTGGTTAAATATAGAAAACGGATTGAAAGGGAAAATGATAAATAATCATTTACCTGCTTGAATAATGAAGATGGGCGTCCACAGCCTCACCAACAGATCTAACAAAACTTAATTTTGTTTTTCCTTTTTTCAAGGCTTGAAATAGCAGAAACCTGAAGTTATATTGCATATGACATTATTACCCTTCAAATTCTCTTAAGAGAATCAAAAAATGTACATGGAGTAGATATAGGGGAAGTAACACTAAGTGCCAAATTAAAGAGACCTTGCTCAAATGTGATTCATACACTATAAAGTTCATGGAACGTGTCTCTACCAAATTACAACTCCAAATGACGATGTTACATGATGTTCTTTTGTGAAAACGCTCACACATGACACATGGCTCAAATCTCATTTCCTAGAGACCACATGACTATAAATTCACAACTATTATTGTAAACTACAACTTTAATTACAATATGATATTAAGTAAACATACCACATATAGTTCAATCTCTTTATTTGGACCACATCCAGCCCTCTCATTTAATTTTGATATTATTTCACTCGGTTTACCACAACTCTTCACAATAAACCTACCAACGTATCTGAAAAAAAAACAATATCATATGATACTTACTCAAAAATCCAATTGAAAAACAGAAGACTTAACATGTTATAATTACCTGAGTTATTCTTTCTCATGATGATAAATCTTATACACGATGCTTAACTAAAATTGTTCTTAACTCATGATTATATAGAAACTAAACTTGAAAGAAAAGAAATTTACAGCGATATTCGTAATCTATTAAGATCATGGATATGGTTGTAAGTGTCCGACGAAGGTTGCGGGTGCTTCTTCAGCTTAATCCTACATTTGTAAGCAATGTTCCTCTTCATCAAACGACACCACTACCGCCTCCAGAATAAGAAACCACAACTTCAGTAAGCCCTAAATGTCACACCAATAAATTAGAAAGCGAGAAATATGGAAATTGTAGGCGTTCACATTTATGAATAGGAAAATGATAGTGGTGGTATCAAAAATTAACAAAAACTATAGACTTTGAGAGAGAGAGAGAGAGATGGAGGGAGATCATACCTAAAATTGACCCCACTTGTGGGCGTTTCGGTATCTAAAACTCGATGAGAGAGAGAGAGAGAGGAGAGAGAGAAAGAGAGACAGAGAGAGAGGAGAGAGAGAAAGAGAGACAGAGAGAGAGACAGAGAGAGGGGGGGAGAGAACATTTGCTAACTTTGACAAAGTCTCAACGGGATTTCACCGGAAAACTTGTTGGAACTCACATCAAACTTGTCGAGATTGGTCAGCTCCAACAACGTCGTTAGTCAGGCAACTCACCAACGAAATTATTGAACGACAGCGTCAAAGTCTTCCGGCTGCTCAAAGTCAAAAGGGTATCCATAAGTAAGACACCGAAGAAATTATTCTGGGAAATATCAACCAATTGAAGAGAAGAACGTGATTTCAAGGTCTCATGAATGGTGCTGAAAATGTTGTTACCGGAAACATTAAACTCTAGGAGCTCACCACATCCGTCTGATAGTGTCTACGGAAAAACTTCCGACCCAGAAATTTGGTTGGACAATAGATCAATAACCTGCAGAGAAAGCCCAATAGGCTTCGAACTACCGGTGAGCCCTAGAAATTTTCGACAAATTGAGGGATTTGAGCTTCAAACAACCCGATAACGATATAAGAAATATTAGGAGCTTCGGACAACCCAATGAGTTTAGATTCGGCGATGCTTTAATTGTTTGTTGTAGAGCTAAAACCCCCTTTTGAATCCTCAACCTTTGCCCTAGGTTTCACGTTTGAAGGCTCTGACCCCGATTAGGGTGATGGTGATGATGTCGAAGACTAAGCGGTGAAGTGGTTTCCCAGTGATAGCATTTAGGTTTTGCCGAAGAAAACTGTTTTCGTTGTATGATATCTATGGAGGTGGCGGTTGTGCAAGGAGAAAAGTGAAAAAGAAAAGTGGCAATCAGCAGAAGGACATGTAGCGATAAGATACAAAACGAAAAAAGAAAAAAGAAATTTGAATTAACACGTGTGAGGAAACTGTGAAAAAGGGTGATGACAATGCAAACTCAAGGCCACCTCCACATAACAGTTTTCATCACCTCCACTACAAATTAAATACACAATGCAATAAAAAAAATACAAACCACATGTCAAACTCATGATGTGTTGGGCCAAAACGTTCAACTTGTAAGGGTTATATATATATATATATATATATATATATATATATATATATATATATATATATATATACTCGAAAAGCTTTAGAATCATTTGAATATCCCAAAAAGAAACCCTCATCAGCTTTAGCTTCAAAATTTGTGCGATGATCCTTTTGATTTAAGATAAAAAAAATACACACCCAAAAACGTGAAAGTAGGAGATATCTAGCTTTCTTCCTTTCAGCATTTCATAGGAGGGATTCCCATGGCGATTTACAATTATAGGTCAATTTTGGGTATAGCATGCAATGCTGACGGCTTCAACCCAAAAGGAATGTAGTAGACCAGCTTCTACTACCATAGTGCGTCCAGCTTCAATCGGTATCCTATTACGTCTTTCAGCAACTCCATTTTGTTAATGGGTACGGACATATGAAAATTTTTTAGTGATCCCTTTTTTCGTTGCGTCTCCATTTTGTTAAGGGGTACGAAGACTTGCTTTGTTTTCCTTTGACACTTGCTGAACAAAGCTTGTCTTTGTGAAACTTGATCTTAGGCATTTATCTAATGAGTTCATTTCCAAAAATTTGAAAGAGTTTTAAAATTTAGATGAGACAATTTTTTGTGCCACAACCAGTTTAAGTGAGCTTGGGATCTCTAGAAAAATACAGTGTTTGAGAGCTGAATCAGAAAAGAACATATCCAACACATAGATATCATTTTTTCTGTTAGCAGTGAGAGCAACTGATTTCTTTGAGTCAATGATGTTGCCTTCCTTCTTATTGAAATGAACCTCTTAATCAACATCACAAACCTGACTAATTGAAATGAGTTTATGTTTGAGACCTTTGACATATGAAACAATCTAGAATTCAACAGACTTGCACTTAATCGTTCCAAAATCCTTTGTTTTTCCTTTGTTATCATCTCTATAAGTTACTATAGGGCCATCTTTTCTAACAAAATCATCCAGGATAGACTTGAATCCTTTCATATGCCTGGAGCATCCACTATCAAATTACCACATGTGCTCCTGACCCTTTAGTACTAAGAAAAATAAGTTAGGACACACTGACCCATTTTTCAATGGGTCTTTTCACTAAAGAAAAAACATCATAACAAGCAGTAGGACGACAGTTTAGTAAGTTATCCTTTTTGGTCCATTTCTTATTTCTTAAACGAAGATTGCCAAATCTCTTAGTGTCTTCACCAATATTGCACTCATTGATTTTATAAGAACGATCTCCACAATGATAACATATCCTTACCCCCATGTTTTTTTTTGTTGACACTTTTCAAAAACTTGGGTTTCCAATGTGTTGTGACTTTTTCATGAATTTTGTGAATTTTTTAGCAAGCCCTGGAAATGAAGGAATTGTCTGTGAGATAGGATGTGGCGGGGGCCTGATACGCTGATGTACACAAAGATTCATCAAATTCAAAGTAATGAGAATTATCAGTGACATGACAGTTAAGAGTATATTTTGGGGACTCACTGAGTATCTAATGTATGGTGTAAAATTCGCCATTAGAAATGGGAAACTTAAGATACATTTCAGTGGTTTTGGGGTAGGAATGCCAGTTGCAGGGTTTCTAATAGTAGGATCTAAAGCAATTAGATGGGTAGTGCAAATAGTGATACCATTAGGATTGGTCGTGCAGTGTTTATCAATGAGAAATTGATTTATAAATGAGTAACTAACAAACCTAGACTTAAAATCTTCCTTGAGATCATGAAAGGAAGAGAAGTTTTGTTTAGTTTCAATTTATTTATAAATGTTAAAACATCATCAATATTTCCACGAAGAATTTTCTCACACTGATCAAGTATCTAGGCGTATATTATTTTATTTAACTTATGATGAGAGTGAGCCCAATTATTCATGATACCATAAATTTTGTCAGCACACATTTCAACTCTATCCTTCTTAGAATGAAGATCATAATTAGTAAGAGATAACTTGGACACTTTAGTGTTATTTAAAGCAAGAGTATTTTCAATGTTGGACAAATTTTCTATCAGTGTGTCAATCTCTAACCTAAGTGAATGGTTTTCTTGGTTAACTTTGGAGAGATGAAGACACAAGTAATTAAATATGATACACTTTTCGTTATTAGAGTAGGTGATAAACTTGTTTACCTGATACAAGTATGAAGAGTCCCAGTTCTGTAACTTAGAGTCCTTGGCAGCTTTAGCTAGATCAGCTTGAAATGTACTTGAGCCGCTGCTTTTTTTTCATTTGTGAAAAATGAATCAGTGCATGCCATCAGACACCTTTCCTTTTCTTTACTTTCATCAGATAAATCCTCAACATCTTCCTGAATTTCCACCTCTGTAGTCAATATTTTTTTTCTTTAATGATGCCAACAACTTCTTATATTTCACTTCATAATATTCATTAGCGTCAACTTTCCTGGATTTAGATTCCCTGGAAAAATGGTCAGCTCCTCCATAGTTGAAGCACTTAGGGCCCTCTTTCCTTTAACTGATAGAGTTTCTTCAAATGTCAGAGCTCTTTGATGCTGATATATCAAGATTTGATTGAAAACTTTTGGGTCAAGATGGTTTCTTATTACTCCTGCTAATGTAGCGCTTAACAATCAAGGCTTCACCTTCCGATTCATTAGAGAAGTCATTATCATTATTTTGAAAAGACTTATTCGAATAGAGTTGCATAGATCTGATCTTTTGAGAGTCCCGCATGATTTCCTTTCTTAAAATCTTGGTTTCTTCATGAATACAAAGATTACCAAATAAAAAAGCCAAATCCATGGTTGTAATTTTTTCATTGTCATTGACTTCCACATGGTAAAGGTCTTTTCATCCAAGTGTGGAATTTTGTTACCGGAAGTGGTTTAAGTGAGATTTGAGGAAGAAGAGGAAGACATAGTTAATTGATATAAGTAACCTACTCTGATACCAGTTGTAGGTTCCTTAATCGATATCAATTAACAATAAGAATAAAAAAAAGAACACCGAAGAATAACACAATGGTTTTCACCAAGAAAACGTTCTCACCAAGAGAATGAGCACAAAGCTCTAGGATTCGATGATCAGCTAATGATGTGGACCCTAGTATATATAGAAAAGAACATACGATGTGAATCCCTACAAACCAAGGATATCACCTAATCTACAATAATAATAAAGTATATCTGATATCACTAAGGTATCAGATCTGCTAACTAACTACATATATTCTTTAATTACAATAGATTAAATCAGATTTACATATGACGCTGACACGACTTTACAAACTTAACTTCACGATGGCGCTTGAGAGACGATGGCCCTAATTGAGTCAGCATGATTGTTTTACATCATCAGATTCTAAGGCTTGACCTTACAACTAGCAACATTATTCAATAATAATTCTTAAGCATATGGATCGAACACAAATTTCATTTAGACTCTATCGGCTAATTCGCATTTTATTTTTATTTTATAGTTTATAAAATTTACATTATAAAAACCTTGAGAAATTCGTAACTCCTTCATACGATCTTCATTCTCGATGTTCTCTATATCGACGGATTCGTATTTACGAGAACTTCAACTTACGTTTAGATTGTTTTGGCTAACAAGCAACCAATCTCCATTTCACTTTTTATCGATAGATTTAGGCATTCTTTATATATGTGGGCTCATGATCACGACTACTACAACTTCCATCAATACTATTTTTAAATGTTTATTTAATATAATTCGTTAAATTTATAATAAGGTTTTATACAAATATTATAAGCCCATTTGTCTATAAAACATGTACGGAGTATATAAATATCTTTTATATAAGCACGTATCATGTATGAAGGATTCTTATTTATTTATGACTATCCTGTTTGAGGATTTAATTATTCGATAAAACAGTAATATTTATTACTTATAACTCTTAAAATGTCTAGCCTGAATTTGAGGGTGTTATGGTCATGACAAGATCCTCGTAGAATCGACAATATTTATTTAGTCCCATCTTGAAAGAATCCACGGTTGTTGTAACATCTTGATGTGGGATGTTTACAACTTCTTTTCCAAATCTGCTAACATAATCTCTTAAGGACTCATCATTGCCTTGAGTTACGTTGTAGAGGTTACATGTTAGTTTCTCAAAAGCTCTACTGCAAGAAATTTAATTATTAAACAAGTTAACCAAATGTGCAAAAGAAGTAATAGAGTAAGGAGGGACATTTATGAGCGATTTTAGTGTAGGTCTTCTAAGGGTTGAACCAAAACCCTTTCATAGACAAGCCTCCTTGAGATGTGGCAGTATTGGGACTATCTCCATTCTTTCTCTATATTAGGCGACAAGCTCCTCAGGATCAGTGGTCCCATCATACATCTTCATGTTTGGCATCGGAAAACTCTTTGGAATTTCAATGTTACATATCGAGGGTGAAAATCTTGAAACCATATAGCTGGCAGGTGAAACCTCTGGTATTGGATGAATGACACCCGATACACTCGAGTTCATGTCTCTTTACTATTTGAGTTCCTTCGTCATGATCAGACTTATCCCAGAATCTTGGATATTAGAAGGGATGTTGAATATCCTTCAAATATATTGGGAGACAGGGCTTCCTGTACTAGGAGATACACCATATGTGAAGATAGGAGCCTCTCTTGACATGAAATCTTCGGGTTGGCGTTCATCGGTCTCGAAATTCAGGATTTTGTGATGGAAGATTGAATATGGATTTAGTATAGCTTCCATAGGCCTTTTCGAATCTGAACTCAACCTCTCCATTCTTTTAAACAACATCTTGTTGGTTTCACTTTGCTTAGT